TTTTTTTTTTTTTTTTTTTTTTTTTTTTTTAACCAAAAATATCGAACATTCGTTTTTTATTAGCATAATAACAAGCATACATTATGATTATATTTTTCGCAATATTTCTCATTAGTCAATATGATAACTCTTAAGCATTCATCATTCATGTTTTCAAGTCTCGAATTAATATTTTTTATGTTTTATAATCAAAATGTCATTCAAATCAAACATAACGTAAAACTAAATTTTCATCTGTTAATATCATCAAAACTAAAAAGTTTTATATAATTATATGTAACTCTTTTTTGTCATTATTCATATTTGATTTAATATCATGAAAACTCTTCTATCGTTCATTCTAACCATAAAAAAAAAATATTACAAAAAATACTTTTTGTCTAAAAAAATATATAAAAATATCACTTTAATTATATATATAAATGAGATTCTTATTTATTAATGATATCCGCCCGACCTCTCAGTCTGCGCATTAAAATCATATCGTGTCGCATGAGAGTAACCCGTTTAGCGTGCAACGCCAACAGCATTGCATCCTCGAAGAATTGTACGATGTACATCTCTGTTGCCTCTTGTAAAGCTTCGAGGGCAGAAGCTTGTATCCTGTAAATTAGTTCTAATCACATCGATTTCTAATCTACCAGATATTGTATGGATCCCCTTGAACATATATATATTAGTCTCTGTAAATTCTATCTTTTTTATGTGAAAAAGTTTAATAATATAAAATGTATTCTATAAAAAAAGACTACATATATATCGAGATATAGTATTTTATATTATACACATATAATCGAGTTTATATAGAAGGGTAGAGCACATATTCTACGAAAATATCTTATTTACAACAGGTATGTCTTCATATATATTATAATTTATTATATATTTCCTTTATTATATACATCCTCAAAAGAAAAAAGAAAAAATTAAAAGAATAAAAAGAAAAGAAAGAGATAAACTTAAGGGAATCATAGTTTGCAAAGAATTAGTGGTTATATAAAAAATAAAAAAATAATGTTATTTACTTGTTGATTTCCTGCCTGGGGAATAAATCAATCATAATTTCTCTGATTAATCGCGAAAAAGGTAGTTTAGGTATGAGAAAGTGCGTAGTCCTCCTTAGATGCTTAATCTCTTGCAGTACTCGGCTTTTTCTTTTGCGTTTGTTCACTATTACGTTTGTCTAAACAATAACAAGCAAACATTACATATGACAACAATTTAATATAATGTTAAACATTATTTAACAGATTTTTATATGTATATACAAATGTGTGTGTATATATAATTTATTTAACAAAATGCCGCTTACTCTGTTTCTTTCCGCAGAATCAGGTGTGGCGAATGATCTGAAATATAAATATATTTCATAAACTATCAAGATTAAGTGTAAAATAATAGAAATCAACGCTAATTAATAAACAATGGCTGTATTAATAAATAATAAATTAAATTATTAGATTTTTCCTAGACAATACAAGACTATGACATGTATTATAAGCAATAGAGTAACAACACCTTTATGTTTACGTTGATTATTAGAAATAATCACACTAAAGAAAAATAAAGAGAGTTCTAACATTAAACAAAAACTATAACAATTAAGACAAACAATTTCTTCACAAATATTAAAAACATTGAGGAATATTAACCTTGGTACCGATTTTCGTCGAACCATTATGTGATCTCTCTCGTGATTATTTTTAAATCAGAAACTTCTACTAATTATTGATATTACGAACAATATTTCACGACTCTTTAGAGTACGGAGTTCAGTTAAGAAATTGTATATCTATCATGATAAATTAAACATTAGTTTGATTGATCTTGATTTGACATAAACACAACGAATTGGCGCCAATTTTATGCGAGCATAACCTTACTTCTTAAGCCCGGTCTACATAGGACGCAACACGCCAGACGCAAGCAAAATCGACCAATCATAGTCGAATATTCTCGGAATAATCGACTGTGATTGGTCGATTTTGCTTGCGTCTGGCGTGTTGCGTCCTATGTAGACCGGGCTTAAGAAGTAAGGTTATGCTCGCATAAAATTGGCGCCAATTCGTTGTGTTTATGTCAAAT